GGTCAAAATTTTGAATATACATGAGGCTCATAAAACGCGAAATTAACATTCGTTTCCATTCAGACTTGGTACTTCTCAATATTTCCATCAACACAAGATCTGTTATAAAGATGGTAGAGATCGAACCATTTATTTTGCTTTCTGCCCACATAGGCTTCAAGATTTTGAAAAACCAAAAGCTCAAAGAAAGCCAAGTAAGCATCCAAGTCTCTTCAAATTTCAGACAAACAAACAGTTTTGTTAACACAAGATCTGCTGTGAAGATTATATATATATCTGCGAACCCCTTCTGGTACCTCACCCACAAGGGGTAACAATTTTCAATACATTTAGCTGTCCTAACTTGCGAAACAAGTCAGCGATTATTTACAACTTGCCATATTTAAACATTTCCCTCAACCAGAAACCTGAGATGAATATCGAATTTATGATTCGCAAAATATTAGTTATAAATATTCGGTTTTCTTGTAATTTTTAATCAGACCCTATATCTGGTAAATCACGCACATATTAACCTTTTTTAAGAATTATCACTTATCTCATATAAAGTGAAGGAAGTAGTCGATATAGTCCAAATCTGGTACGTCGCAATAATGATATCATACTTATGTAGGTCCGATACGAAATGGACAATATTGGCCCATTCGCTGGGAACTTACATTGGCAGAAGTCATACATCTGTCGGCTAACCAGACTGATACATTTTAACTCGTTTTATTTATTTATTTATTTTTTTTTTTTTTACGGCAAAAGAAAATTGCAGCTGGCCTTACTGTGTACACTATGAAAGAGGGTTAATGCCAAATTCGGTGGTTACGTTCATTGATCTTAATTAGAGCGGCAATTAAAATCACATACATATAGGACTGTGTTTTTTGTTTTCAAACATAAAAATATTGCTGCAAAGATTTTGGGGAATTCGATAAGAGATAAAAATAGAACAGAACATTTTCAAACGAAAGCTGGGGGATATGCTCTTATAGTATTATTTATAGGGTGAGATAAAAAATTGCAACAAAGTCAAACGCCATAATTTTTACGTTTTTTTATACCCTACACCACATAGTGGTAAGGGTATTATGTCTTTGTGCATTTGTTTGTAACATGGAGAAGGAAACGAGACAGACCCATAGTTACTCTTGAGAACCTTCATAGAATTACTTTCTGAGTCGATTTATGCATGTCAGTCCGTCCGTCCGTCCGTCTGTCCATGTATTCTTGTGAACAAAATGCAGGTCGCATTTATTATCCGATTGAGATGAAATTTTCGAAACAATATTTTTTTGGCCCAAGGACGAACCCTATTGAAATTGGTGAGAATCGGATCAAAATTAGATATAGCTCCCATATATATCTTCATCCGATTTCGGGTTAAATGTGCACCAAATGTCCACTATCAGTCCAAATTACCTGAATTTTGGCACACCCAACCGAGTTCGGCCTATAAGCAAGTATATCAAATTTGGAGAAAATCGGTTCAGATATAGCTATAGCTCCCATATATATCTTTCATCCGATTTGATCTTTAAGTCCCACACATTCCTACTATACACTCCACAACCGTGATATTTGGCACCAGGTATTAGATGGTAAATTTTATCGAAATCGGTTCAGATTTGGATATATCTCCCATATATATCTTCATCCGATTTCGGGTTAATTGTGCACAAAATGGCCGATATAAGTCCAAATGGACTGAATTTTAGTACATCGGACCAAATTCAGCCTAGTATTCAGCCAAGTATATCAAATTTAGTGAAAATCGGTTCAGATATAGATATAGCAACCACATATATGTTTCATCCGATTTAGTGTTTTAGTCCCTTACATTCGTAATATTCACTCCAAAACCGTGATATTTAGTACCAGGTATTAGATGGAGCACAGGAATAGCTATTTTAAATTTTATCGAAATCGGTTCAGATTTGGTTATATCTCCCATATATATCTTCATCCGATTTAGGGTTAAATGTGCACTAAATGGTCAATATCAGCCCAAATCACCTGAATTTTCGTACATAAGACCGAATTCAGTCTAGAAGCTTATACGTCAAATTTGGAGAAACCCGGTTCAGAGATAGCTATAGTTCGTAAAATGCACGATAGAATTAGATAGATTTTGATTTTGTACCAAATATCTCATAGAGCTCTGAAATGCCCTGTATAAACCTTTTTCCTTACTGGTTTTTTTTTAATTTTTATTAAATGAAAGCAAAAAATGTCGGACATAGCATCAAATTTTAGAATAAGGTTAGATTTGTTCGAATTGGTCACCTTTGGGGCGAATTATGGTCTTAAAAAGGCCAATGAAACCGTCCAACGGATTGGTATCCGGAGATTTTGGTGACCGGTATATTCCATCTTCACAACAGAACGTGGGTTAATGTGTGTGCGATGTGTGTAATTTGAAGACAATTGCATTCTTACATCACATTTTTTAATAGTTATAATTATTCAAAATGTTGAGAATTGTGGGGGAGGTACTTGAAGGAGTGGATCGATATTGCCCATATTCACACCCAACCTAGCACTGGGGTAAATATTGAAATTTGCAAGATTGGAGCAAAATCTGATGATCCTTTCTCTTTTTTTTTTTTTTTTTTTTTGAAAATTTCGACGCTTTGTGGGAAAGTTACCAAAGGGAGTGGACCGTTATTGCCCATCTCCAAACTCGATCTAAGTTTGATAATAATGTTACGATGGACCAAGTTTGAATCGAATCGGATACTTCCTTCGAGAGTTGTCATGCGCACCAGCCATCCAGCCCGACAGACGGACGGACATTGCTAGATCGACTCCAAATCTCCTGAAATTGATTTGGTTCAAAGAGACCTAGGGTCTAAAACCGTTATTTCGATTAGGCACGATTTGGCCGTATCTAGCCATATTACTGAGGATATAAAAAATCGGTGGAGACAAAAGTGTGTTGTTATCCAGGAAAGTTAAGCTTTGGAACACTGTGCCGAATGTACCGAAAAGACGTAAATTCGATTTTTGTTTTCGTCGAATTTTGAAGAATTCCATGGTAGTTAATATATCTTAAATGTTTTCTACTTATTGAAGATTGAATATCCTTCAAATATCTTCCATTTCCATTTATGACTTCAGAATCTAAAGGCCTTCGTAAAAGTCCTTAAACTTAAAGACCAAAAACTATCCTTGAATATTTCACATCAAATTTCTCAATTTTTCCCAATGACTTTGATAAAGGATTTAATGATAACTATTTCCCACATACCACCAAAACAAATGTCCGGCATTTGTTGTGGATTTGTTTGCGACACACCGAACATGGCTGAAAAGGCGACTGACCAAACGAGTTCCACTAATGGTCATTTCTTTTGTTATAACGTTATGCTTTTAACCTTGGAAATGATTTTTGTTGTTGTGGTCGCTGTTGTTGTTAAACTATGACAAGGACGTCGGTTGGTTGATTTGGCTCCCCCTCATAATCGGGTCAAATTTTTTCGTTGAAGGTGGTACAATTGTCTACCTTGTCCAAGACGCTTTGTTGTCTTGTTCGAAACCCTTGTTATGGATAATAAACATTGCAATGAACCTAACAACACTACTTGCTAATCACCCCCTCCCCCTACCTTTTGGGTTCCGCCCCTCATTTCCATGGTGAGCGTAGTTGATGGTAAAGAAATTAAGAGGAGCCGTAGATAAAAAAATACCAACGACATTTGTATACAAATTTATGAAAAATGCCACAGAACGAAATATAAAATAAAACCATGACAGGCAGGCTTTTATGGTGTACAGATGAAGGAGGAGGGTGGCACACGACGACGAAGGCGACTAACGACGACGTCGCCTCCGATCCGATCCAAGGCAAGGCATGGCAGAAAACAAACAAATCACCGGCAACCAGGCTGCGGCAGCTATCCAAAGCGTTAGCTTCGTTGTTAACGGCAAACGCTGTCAAGAAGATGACGGCAGACAATGCCACCGCGTCCCTCCCCTCTCTCTCTCTGACCAAACAACAATTGCGATGCGAACTGTTGTTGATGATGATGATGATGATGACAAGCGGCGTCGGTCAGTCAAACGTATGTTTTTCATTCGAAATTCCATGGACGACAACGATGGCGCTGCCGACGGCGACGGCGACAGCGACAGCGACGACGATGAAAGCGTTGCTTGAATTTCTCTATGGCCTGGCCAAAGTGAAAAATTTTAGTGTTTCTGCCGCCATCGCCAAACTCCGCACCACATATCGTAGCCGACTAACGTGATACCACCGACGCGCCTTGGGCCCGCTGCCATTCGTTGTTTCTGTTTCTTTATTTTGGTTAATAACAAATCGAAGTGACATTTTTCCTTTCTTTCATTTCAAAATCTTTGTTGCTGTTTTCCTCTGTTATTTATTTTTGTTGTTGTTGTGAGATTTTATATATTTTTCATAAATTTCCTACAACTTTTATGCCAAAATGGAATTGTCATTGAGTTCCTAGTTATAACCGTTGTTGCTGACTGATGCGTGAATAAAAGAAAAAAAAAACCTTGTGAAAACCCTCCTCCAACATTGAAATAGATAACATTACAATAACAACAACAACAACTTTATCCCATTGTTAACATAAGGATAGACAAAAAAAGGAAGCAAACAAGAAACGCAAAATACACCAGAAAAAAAGACGTCATCGCCAAGTTTATACAACCGACACCGGAAAAACAAGGCGCCCAAACAACAAAAAATTTAGCTGCCCTGTCGTTCTTCGCCTTCGCAAAAAATAATTCACATTTTTATTCAGTGTTTGAATTCAACAACATTTCGCCACAATGATTAACAGTTCCTTTCAATTTTCTTGTAAATATCCAAAAAAAAAAATAGTTTTAAAATTTTATTTAACAAAAAATGTATTTCCATCCGCATTACTTGACTCTCCGAAGCGCAACCCAACAACGTTTACTAACTGTTCGAAAATGTTTCTTTTTTTTTTCTTTTCATCGCCCATCGGATTTTCTTCAATCGCAACGACCGACGACGACTACAGCTGACGACGATTCGGATAATTGCCCACACGATTTCGAAGGCGGTGGTTCGGATCTAGAATACGGTTTATCCGATTTTAATGGTTTGCATCTGAACTCGTACAGTGGCGGCATGCAGGCAGAGATTCAGGTAAGAATGACTAGTACACACACACACACATACATACATATATGAATAATACAAACACACATATAAAAGATATGCTACATGAACAGCAGAGAGGTTCTCAGTAAAATAAGTGAAACTGTCATATGTTTACATGAACCGAATTATGCATACATACCCTAGGTCTAAGGGTAGGGCCGAATTTTGTATATAGGTACCTCTTGAATGTGAAGACAATTTTGGAGGAAAATTTAAGCTATCAACATTTAAGAGTCACGTGTAAAGTGATTTTTATGGCATACTTCTAGGCGCTGCCAATAATTTTTATACCCTCCACCATACATAGTATAGAGTGTATATTAAGTTCGTCATTCTGTTTGTAACTCATCGAAATAATAATTTTAGACCTAGCAGAGTATGCATATTCTTGATCAGCGTAAAATTCTAAGACGATTTAGCCCTTTCCACCCGTCCGTCTGTCGTTATCACGCTAGAGTCAAAACGAATAAAGATAGGAAGTTAAAATTTTGCACAGATTAGTCTTTTGTCAGCAGGCAGGTCAAGTTCGAAGATGGGCTATATCAGTCCACAATATCATACAACAGCCATGTAGCGGTAAAAATTGCGTGTGTAGGTCCAGGTCTCCGTATATGCCCTATATATCGGTACCTCCCTATATTCGGTATTTTGACGATTTTAGGTACAAAATTCATCGAATTTTTTTTCATATTTCGTATTTGAAGTTCCTAATGGGTACTACATCCTATTTTAGAAAATTGCCTATGTATAGGTACTTTGATGATTTTAGGTACAATATTCAGCGGAATTGTTTTGAATTTCGTATTTGAAGTTCCCAATAGGTATTAAAACCTGTGACATCAAATTATCTATGCAGGTTCACGTCTTCGTATAGCCCCCATATAACGGTACCTCCCTATATTCGGTATTTTGATGATTTTAGCGACATCATTCACCGGAATTGATTCAAATTTCATACTTGAAATTCCTGATGGGTACTACAGGATATGACAAAAATTTGTCTATGCAGGTCCAGGTATTCGTACAGCCCCCGTTAATATATCGGGACCTCCCTATATTCGGTATTTTTACTTGATTTTAGGTAAAATATTTACCGAAATTGTTTGAAATTTCGTATTTGAAGTTCCTAATCGGTACCACAGCCTGTGACAGAAAATTGTCTATGCAGGTCCAGACCCATGTAACGGTACCTCCCTATATCACGTTTTTTTGAAGATTTTAGCTACATTACTCATCGGAATTGTTTCATATTTCGTTTTTGAAGTTCCTAATCGGTACCACAGCCTGTGACAGAAAATTGTCTATGCAGTCCTTGTCTTTGTATAGCCCCCATATATCGGTACCTCCCTATATGCGGAAATTGTTGGTACAATATTCACCGAAATTGTTTGATATTTCGTATTTGTAGTTTCTAATAAGGTACTACACACTTATCTGTGACAAGGTACTACAGCCTGTGACATGTAATTTTCTTTGGGGTACAGGTCTTCGTATACCCCCTATATATCGGTACTTCCCTATATTCAGCAATTTGACTATTTTAGGTACAAATCACTGGAATTGTTTCAAATTTCGTATTTGAAGTTCCAGGTCCAGGTCTTCGTATAGCCCCGATACAATGGTACCTCAATATATACGGTATTTTGATAATTTTAGCTACATTATTAACTGGATTTTTTCGTATTTGAATATTGTAATGGCTTAATTCCAAAGGTGCCTATGTAGTACCACGTCTTCGTATATCACCCAATATAACGGCCTATATTCGTCATTTTTAGGATTTTATACAGAAAAATTTTGAAAAATTTCAAATTCGTTCCAAATGGTGGAGTGCATTCAAAGTAGATGAGTCGAGTTTCTTGAATGTGGATCGAATTTTGAACTGCTAAATGCTAATTTACACCTCACGATAGGGTTATATTTGAAATGATTTTTCTAGCATATTTTTAGGGACTTTTAATTAAATGCTGTACTGACAATCAACTGAAGTTTCATCCATAGAGAATATTGGTTGTGAAGATGGACCATATTTACCTAATACCGTACGACGAGGAAGGTACCGTTATGTGGGACTATACCATTAAATATAAAATTGACAAAATAATTCAAAACCCTGCAAACGAATTGCTGTTATTACCCCCGATACGATTAACTCCACTTAGAATATCTCAACACCCACACACTATTAGTTGGGAACGTAGCCTGGAAGGTACCGTTAAATGGGGACTATATCGAAATCTATACCTATCTTGCAATATTTCTGTAACATATTTCGCTGTAGTCTAAGTTCAAATTTTTAGAAAAAAACCCTCGATATAGACAAAATGCAGAGGTTCATTTATATCGGCGCTATTATAAAACATTGAAGGTTTTACAGAGGTTTTCTACCCCCTTGAAAACCAAAATGCCAAATAAGGACCAAAACAATTCAAAAATGCGGCCAAGACCCCGGAATTAGCTATTTGAGGGTTATACCAAGACTTATATTTTTAATATTTGGCAAGGATGGAGTCTTCTTATTAAGAACTCATCTATGCAACATATGTCTTAATGTAAAATACTTGACATCGGGGAATACTCTTATATCGAGGCTATACCAAAAACTGGAACGACGGGACCCTTATTTAGCACAAATGATGTACCATTAAGGCCTGTATAAAACTGGAAAGTTCTTACGGTCCAAACTTGGTACACCGTAATGTAATTATCAAACTTAGATCGAGTTTGGAGATGGGTTTTATCGATCCAATCCTTTTGGTACGTCCACCGCAAAAGGTCGAACTTTCAAAAAAAAAAAAAAAAACGTTTTACTGCACAGATTGATAAAGGATAATCTGATTTTGCTCCAACTTTGTACATTCTAATATTTGCATCAGCGCTATGTCAGGTACGAAAATGGACAATATCGGTTCACTCCATCAAGTAGCTCCCCCACAAAGGATCAACATTTTGTATAATTATAACTCTTATAAAATATGATATAGTAGTCCGATTGTCTTCCGGTTACACACATCACAATGCTTTTATTAACCCTAGGTCTGGTGTGAAGATGGAATATATCGGTCCACTCCTTCTGGTACCAACCCCACAAAGGGTCAACATTTTGAATAACCATGAAGGGCATAAAACGGAAAATTAACATTCGATTCCATTCACACTTGACACATCTCAATATTTCTATCAACAGAAGATCTGTTATAAAAATGGTAGAGATCGGACCATTCCTTCTGGACAAAGAGTCAATGTTTTGAATAGGCAAAACGATTATTAAATCCGAAATAAGCATCCGATTCTCTTAATATTTCACATATCCCATTATTTCTACTAACACAAGATCTGCTGTGAAGATGAAATATATCGGTCCACTCCTTCTGGAACCTCCCCCAAAAAGGGTAAAAATTTTTAATATCCATGGAGATAATAAAACATGAAATTAAAATTCAGACTTGTTACATCCCAATATTTTCATCAACACAAGATCTGTTATAAAGGCGGTAGAGATCGGACCATTTCCTCTGGAACCTCCCCCTCATAGTATTCAAGATTTTGAAAAACAAAACGCTCAAAGAAAAACTTCACACATACAAACATTGTATTTATCCAATAACTTATAAACAGCTTCATCGACAATTTTGGCTCCGTCGCACATTTGCAAGACTACAATTTTCAATCTCATCTCTTTGGGTCACTAATAGTTAATTTGAAAAAGAAACTATGATATATCCGTCCACATCCATCCCCCTATGAAAAAGTTTTCAAATATTTCCCATTAAATTGTAGAGTGCATGCCACGGGCGGATATGACCTAACTCAATTCCGTTCGAATGTCAATCTTGTTATCCACTGCATAAAATAGAAATAAACTGTTATACACGAACTTATCCACAGTAGCGAGCGCTTTTCTTTTATACCCATTTCGAAAGCTAACATTGCTGTTACAGAAAGCTTTGCAAGTTCAGCCATTAATATCAGAAGTTAAGTGTACATGTAAACACATTGATTTTCCAATGAATCAAATGGGCTTTATGTATGTTTTTGTTAGTAATGCCAACATGAATTTCTTAAAAAAACGCAAAGACATTATTTTAAAATATTAATTTTTATATATTATACGTAGATAATTTTTTGGTACATTTTAATTCTGAAAATATATATAGTATCCATCGTGAATATATTTTCTCTTTCTCATCAGTATTACTTTAAATACTTCTATATGTTGGTTTTGTAAATAATTTCTAAAAACATTATTGTTTTCAACTTCATTACAGGCCGATTTGGATCGCCAGCATTTGTTGGGCGACAGACCACGTAATGGTGTCTACGAAAGTGTTGTCTCCGACGGCATTGAGGGCTTGGAACATCAAGAAAGGTAAGTGAGAACGAAGCCATTCATATAAAAACTATTTTAAGTTTTTTTTTTATTTTTTGGCTAACACACCTCCATGAAGGTGTAATAATTTTATAACCAAATTAGGAATAAAAATATTTAATTTTCGTAACGACGTCATTTAATAGTTGCGCATTGTTGAGAATCATTTGTTCAAATGGATTCATAGCTTTTCATGCCTGAGATATTCTCTTTGGTATTTTTTGTTAATAAGGCATATCAGGTGAACGTGTATTGTATCGTTTTCACACTGTCAACAAATTGGATGAAAACTAATATGAATAAGTATGGATGTCTGTACATAACTTGTTGTCATATTTTTTTAATAAAAAGAAAACTGCTTAATCAGTGGAACCTATCACATGGTAGTAAATACCACTAATCCGAAAAAAAAATAATAGCAGTCTAGATTTTATCACACCATGTTTTTTCGATAGAGAAACTAGTAGAACCCAATATTTTTTAGAGAAATTCTGTGGAACCCAATTATTTCTTATGGAACGCATTAATTCATATAGTAAATCTTGTGCAACAAACATTTTCTATAGAAAATCTTGTGGAACCCAATATGTTCCACAGAAAATCTTGTGGAACGCAATACTTCTTGTGGAACGCATTATTTTCTATAGAAAATTTTGTGGAACGCAATATTTCCTCTGGAAAATCTTGTGGAACACAATATTTCCTCTGGAAAATCTTGTGGAACGCAATATTTTCTCTGGAAAATCTTGTGGAACGCTATATTTTCTCTGGAAAATCTTGTGGAACACAATATTTTCTATAAAAAATTTTGTGGATTGTGGTCTTGTGGAATGCAATATTTTCTATGGTTAATCTTGCGGAACGTAATATTTTCCATAGAAAATCTTGTGGAACGCAATATTTTCCATAGAAAATCTTGTGGAACACAATATTTTCCATAGAAAATCTTGTGGAACATGATATTTTCTATTCAAAATCTTGCGGAACAATATTTTCAATACAAAAGCTTGTGGAACATAATATTTTCTATAGAAAATCTTGTGGAACGCATTATTTTCTGTGGAAAATCTTGTGGAACATAATATGTTTTACAGAAAATCTTGTGGAACGTATTTTTTTCTTTATAAAATCTTGTGGAACGCAATATTTTCTATAGAAAATCTTGTGGTCTTGTGGAACGCAATATTTTCTGTGGAAAATCTTGTGGAACATAATATTTTCTATAGAAAATCTTTCGGAACATAATATTTTCTATAGAAAATCTTTCGGAAAATAATATTTTCTATAGAAAATCCTGTGGAATGCAACATTTTCTATAGAAAATCCTGTGGAATGCAATATTTTCTATAGAAAATCCTGTGGAACGCAATATTTTCTATAGAAAATCCTGTGGAACGCAATATTTTCTATAGAAAATCCTGTGGAACGCAATATTTTCTATAGAAAATCCTGTGGAACGCAATATTTTCTAAAGAAAATCCTGTGGAACGCAATATTTTCTATAGAAAATCCTGTGGAACGCAATCTTTTCTATAGAAAATCCTGTGGAACGCAATCTTTTCTATAGAAAATCCTGTGGAACGCAATCTTTTCTATAGAAAATCCTGTGGAACGCAATCTTTTCTATAGAAAATCCTGAGGAACGCAATATTTTCTATAGGAAATCTTGTGGAATGCAATATTTTCTCTGGAAAATCTTGTGAAACGCAATATTTTCTCTGGAAAATCTTGTGGAACGCAATATTTTCTATAGATAATCCTGTGGAACGCAATATTTTCTATAGAAAATCCTGTGGAACGGAATATTTTCTGTAAAAATCTTGTTGATCGTAATATTTGCTATAGAAAATCTTGTGGGACGTAATATTTTTTATAGAAAATCTTATGGAACGCATTATTTTCGATAAAAAATATTGTGGAACGCATTATTTTCTATAGAAAATCGTGTGGAACGCATTATTTTCTAAGGAAAATCTTGTGGAACGCATTATTTTCTATAAATAAAATTGTGGAACGCATTTTTCATTAAAAATCTTGTGGAACGAATTATTTCTCTAGAAAATCTTGTGGAACGCAATATTTTCTCAAGAAAATCTTGTGGAACATATAATTTTCTATAGAAAATCTTGTGGAACGCAATATTTTCTATAGGAAATCTTGTGGAACATAATATTTTCTAAACTAAATCTTGTGGAGCATATAATTTTCTATAGAAAATCTTGTGGAACATATAATTTTCTATAGAAAATCTTGTGGAACACATAATTTTCTATAGATAATCTCGTGGAACATATAATTTTCTATAGGAAATCTTGTGGAATGCAATATTTTCAATAGGAAATCTTGTGGAACGCAATATTTTCAATAGGAAATCTTGTGGAACATAATATTTTCTATAGAAAATCTTGTGGAACATAATATTTTCTATAGAAAATCTTGTGGAACATAATATTTTCTATAGAAAATATTGTGGAACATAATATTTTCTATAGAAAATATTGTGGAACATAATATTTACTATAGAAAATCTTGTGGAACATAATATTTTCTGTAGATAATCTTTCGGAACATAATATTTTATGTAGAAAATTTTGTGGAACATAATATTTTCTATAGATAATCTTTCGGAACATAATATTTTATATAGAAAATTTTGTGGAACATAATATTTTCTATAGAAAATCTTGTGGAAAATACTATTTTCTTGTGGAGCATAATATTTTCTATAGAAAATCTTGTAGAACCTAAAATTTACTACAGCAATTTAGTTTATACTTGATCTTGTATCTATAGAAGACTACAATCATAAATTTCTAAAACTTCCCAACCTAATCTCCCACTTATTTTAAGCATTCCTTACTAAGTCCGCAATCGCATTACTATTAGTCTGTAAAGTACAGCGTAATATAAAAATGTCCAATTTGCATAAAATTATAGTTATAATATTCAAATGACTTAACTTGACCTTAACACTAAAATAGGGAATAATATAAAATAATTCTGACATTTAAAATCGAATTATCATGCCAATAATTCATACTTAGAGTTAGAATTAAATCAACGGAAACGGAAATCAGATTAAAGCGGGAAAACTTAGTAATTAATGTGCGTTACACCAGAGAAAATGTTCGTGACTCTTTGAGCAACCAAAGACTTACAGGACTTCATACTCACTCACATAAATTCTCTAACCAGGATATGCGAGAAAGAGTAAAGTTTGAATGGACTGTGATTACCTTCAAGCATGCTGTTACAATGAGGAAATGTGTTACGCATAACATAATATTCGTTGACCTCTCACCTTACTGGTGCTCTGCATGTTCGACGACAATGCCACATGTGGGCCAAAGTTCATGTTGCATTCACTCGACTCGCTGGCATAAACCTCCGACAGATTTTGTGTTTTCTCGTTTTGCCCCACCCCTTTCCTACCCTATTATCAACTTCAACAATGACGTCAACAACAGGATACTTTATTCTGCTCATGTTGTTCGTTTGCTTTCGTCATAATAAGGTTATGACCTCAATGGAGTGCAGGCAACAATCGAATTTACAACAAAATTTGTTATTCAACCTTTAAATGGGGCGAAATAAATACTGTAGTACTTTTTGTTCTGCTTCCTCTTTTCTTCTTAAAGGCCATTAGATAAGTTTTCATTCCATTTATCAAGGAAATGTGGTGAGGGCCCCCTTCTCCAACGAGACATGAACTAAAAATAGAAATAGATTAGAAGTTAAGCTATAAATAGACATGGACATGCACAACTTTTTTTCTTAGTCATTGAAAATGCCATCTTTGTGACGACGACGACGAAGGCAATTGGTTGGGAAAGACAATGCCAATGATGAATAATCGATAATTATACAAAATATTTCTCATAAATAAGAAAATGAAACAAATAAACTTATAAATAAAAACAAAAAGAAATATTTTTGGATGAAAGCGAGAGTGCCATACCATACCACCTGCACAGAAAGTATGATTCAGTTGTGGTTAATATTTTCCCAATTAATATCGCAAATACATAACATTACAATGCGGATATAGAATATCATTTTAATATAAAATTCCGTTCCACAAAATTTTCATTACAGAAAATAGTATGTTCCACAAGATTTTCTCTAGAAAATATTATATTCCACAAGATTTTATATAGAAAGTAATAAGTTCCATTAGACTTTCCATAGAAAATATTATGGTCCCCAAAATTCTTAATGGAAAATATTATATTCCACAAGATTTTCTTCAGGAAAATATTATGTTCCACAAGATTTTCTATAGAAAATACTGCGTTCCACATGATTTTCTAAAGAAAATATTACGTTCCACAAGATTTTAATAATTAATATTATGTTCCACAAGATTTTAATAATTAATATTATGTTCCACAAAATCTTCAATGGAAATTATTGTGTTCCACAAGATCTTCAATGGAAATTATTGTGTTCCACAAGATTTTCAGTGGAAAATATTTTGTTCTACAAGATTTTCTATAAAAGATATTATGTTCCACAAGATTTCCCATGGAAAATATTATGTTCCACAAGATTTCCCATGGAAAATATTATGTTCCACAAGATTTCCCATGGAAAAAATTATGTTCCACAAGATTTTCTATGGAAAATATTAAGTTCCACAAGATTTTCTATGGAAAATATAAAGTTCCACAAGATTTTCTATGGAAAATATTAAGTTCCACAAGATTTTCTATGGAAAATATTATGTTCCACAAGATTTTCTATGGAAAATGTTATGTTTCACAAGATTTTCTATGGAAAATATTATGTTCCACAAGATTTTCTATAGAAAATATTATGTTCCACAAGATTTTCTATAGAAAATATTATGTTCCACAAGATTTTCTATAGAAAATATTATGTTCCACAAGATTTTCTATAGAAAATATTATGTTCCACAAGATTTTCTATAGAAAATACTGCGTTCCACAAGATTTTCTATAGAAAATATTATGTTCCACAAGATTTTCTATAGAAAATAT